GTTTAGTTCTAGTGAACAACGGGGTTTAGTCCTGGTTAATAACAGGGTTTAGTTCTAGTGAACAACGCGTTTAGGGTTAGTGAGCAACAGAACTTGGTTGATTCTGAGATTAAGGCGTTTTACGTCTAATTCTTGGTGCCAGAGAAAGAGGGACGTAAAGGAATAAAGGGTTTAAAGTGATCCAGGCTGCTGATGAGGAGCAGTTGGATCAGAGGACTGTGGTTAGTGAACCGGATAGAGGTGTAGAACCATGAAGCAGGACTGCAGGGAGGAAGACTAGGATGCTTCATCTTTTGATCTGGTTGCATTCTGAGGATGACTACATGTGAAGATTCTGATCTATTCCCATCTGAGCAGGGATGAATCCCCCCCACCCCCCACCCCACCCCCGTAGGCTACCGGAGTTGCTGATGCGGCTCCGTTTTCAGCACCGCGGACAGCGCTCACACGCAGAGACCCCAAAATGCTGCATTTCGTGCGTGGCTGAGCGTGAACCGCGGAGACGTGAGGGTCAGAGTGAGGCTGCCGGTAGTTCCGGCCTGCAGAGGAAGGCCCAGCACTCCCTCTCCCCACCCCCCACCCCCTGCTGGGGAGCCTGACCCAGAGCATCCCGCTCTTCCAAAACCAGGACCGACTGGGTCCGTCCGGCACGCTGCCTCCTGCATTCAAAATGACATCTGTCCGGATCATCCGCAGTGGGTCGCTCCTCTGAGCTCTGAGTGTGAGTGAGAGCTGAGGCTGGAGAACTTACTGTTGGTTCGGTGTTTCCAGTCCAGACCAGTCCTCCCAGCAGAGATAAACCCAGTGAGTCGGATTAATGGGCAGAGAGGAGCATCCTCGCGGCGCCTTGCATGGCTGTTATTATGGCTTTGCGGTAAATGTGCGCGGCGCGTGAACACGCCAATCCCTGGGTTCGGATATTTCCAAGTATTGCAAAGAGAAGAGGGAAAAATCCACGCACAGACACACACTTAGAGACACGAACAGATACACAAACCATCCACGGAAACGACGAGCAGAGCAGAGCTCCCCTCCTCCTCCTCCTCCTCTACAATCTGGAGCTCATTCGCGACGTCATGATGGAGACGCGCCGTGCGTAAAAGCTGCCGCTCACGTATTTATGTGCCTTACTTCTCACAGAGGAAGGTTTGCGCTCAAAAATCTCCTGATGAATGTGAGGAAGCGGCTCTGATGGAGGATCAGTCCGCGGCGGAGCTGCAGACATGGCGCTCTGCTTCCAGGGCTTTAAGCTCAAAGCTCTGCGGAGATTAGGGCAGAGGAGCGGCTCATCCAGCGCCGCAAAGCTCTGCGCGTCATCTGCTCAACATTTAAACACCTGCTGAATAATTCAGGGAGAGAAACCAGGAAATCTTTCCAGAATCTCTTTGATTCACCATCTTCAGCAAAATCAGGAAATCTGGTCAGTTCAGTTCTAGAGCTCCGATTGTCAGGCCATGAGAAAATCATTAGTGACTTTCACCAGAGCTGTTTCAGTGCTATGATGAGCTCTAAAGCCAGACTGAAACTCTTCAAAAAGTTCATTATGGTGGAAGTGATCGCACACTTGTTTGGCAACTACTTTCTCAAGGATTGTAGATCAGAAAGGAAGATTGGATATAGGTCTATAATTGACCAAGTCATCTGGGTCAAGAGACGGTTTCTTAACTATAGTATCATGCTGATACTATA